GTACATTTTTCTTATAAGTTTTGGTGAATTTAAATTATTTAAAAGCTTACGGGTAATAGAAGGTATATATGCGCTTTACAAAGCTTTTGGTTTGATTCAAAAGTTATAATTAGACATTTGCCGATATAAAAATACTGGATGTGATTTATGAAAAAAAATTTAATGCGGTTTTTATTTTTAAATTTCACACTAAAAGTCGCACGCAATCTCCACAAGCTACTCTACAATCTGTATTCTTTGCACTCTGTTTCAACTGAAGGAATTCCTAGTCTCCTCTGCTAAGAGTTGAACTCTTTAACAATATTATTTAGAGCATTTCTATGGAATACGTAGCTTTCAGTAAGCTTTGCGTAAGCAACTTTGCCATATCTACATATTATAAGTAAAATAACACAACAGGTTTTGCGATATCAACCGTTAATTTTTAAACTTCAAATGGTAAGTGTAAAAACTTTCTGCAGCTTTTTACGATTCTACTTTCGTTTATAACACTGTCTATCAACTAATTAAATGGAAAATAAAAGGATATACAATCAAAAATTTTATTTTTCAAATACTTATATATACATATTTAAAACTCCTAGTAAATTTTAAGTGCCCCAAACAAATAAAAATTAACCATCTCTAAGTTATGTGTATCATAAAATATAACATACAAATTTTATATATACATATGTACATAGTATACTATTTAATTACTGCTTTTGTTCTTCCTCTGATATTTGTGCCCACGGAAGTAACAAATGTGTGAAAAATATATAAAAATTGATTGTTCTTCCACAAAAATTTATATTACAAAATTTCGAAAACAAATATATGAAAAAACAGGAATTGGCCGACAAATTTGAAAATTGTTTAGCTAACGATGAAGACACTAAAACAAACATAACACAAATTATCTGTACTATTTAAATATCTAACCTGAAGAACCGAAATAAAACTACCTGTTTTTTGCCCACTTTAGGTTTTATACTTTCTACTTGCATACGTAAACACAAACACACATATTTTATAAGATGTTATTGCAGCAAGGAGGGGTGTTGAAAATAAACTAACTCATTATCACACATATGTCACGTATACATACATACATATATGTACCTACAAATGAAAGTCTATAAATTCCTGTCACTTGGACTATTTGCTTTAGATAAAAATAAAATTTAAAGGAAATTTCGATATTTTTTTATTATCTTTCTATATATTATGTTTGAAAAGCGCGTATAACGACTATTAACTAAAACAAAAAAGGAGTGAAAAATATCGTACAAATTAAAAAAATATATATATAAATTTATATTTTTTTTTTTTATTTTATATTTTTTTTGATAAGCAATTAGATTTTTCTTTTAATTTTTTTTTCACTATGCATTATATCATATATGAGCTTTTTAAATTTTCCCAAACATTTTTTTTTTAAAAAGCAATTAAAATAAAAAAATAAAAAAAACGTTAATTTTGTATTATTTTAATACATACATATATATTTTTCAATGAAATTCTATTGGACATTTCTAATATAATTTAAGGCGAACTAAGTCCCTTTTTTACCAAATCACTTCAACAAAGTTTTATTAAATCCTAAAAAGAAGTTGTCAATTAATGTAAAAAAAATATATTGTTTCCTACATACATATGTACATTTTATATAATATAATATTAATTAATAAAAAAATACTTATTCCTATTAACATACATAAACGGCTCTATCACAAACTAAACTTCAAAAATGCATAACTGTACATACGCTTATACATGCACACATATTACCAACCACTCAAAATAAATAATATTTGTTAAGGTTTTGAGAAGATAGGAAACCAAATATAATTAAAACGATAAAAAACATTTATTGGACTTTAAAAATTATATAACAGAACATAAACCAAAAATAAGCTTGTAACATTAAACCATTAAACTAATGTGGACATTACATACAAAACAAAAACACACATACAAATAAAATACACCATCCCATTATTGCACACCACATCATAGCCAACTAAAAACGCAGCACTTGAAGAAAAGAAATTTATATGTATTTACTAAGGTTTTGGCAATAAGTACTTGAACTGCATTTAACAAGAATTCTTCTGGGAACAGAATAACAAAGCAACATTAAATTATGCATACCATATATGCATTACAATCCCCCAACAATGTGGGTATTGACTGGCAGCTACACACACACCTATATTCATACAATATATATACATATACATTTTTTTAATATTTTTATTAATTTAAAATTACACCCTGCGCACGCGTTATTTACTTTACGTTTTTTTTTCTCTTATTCTATTTTCATTCCCTACTTATCTTTGAAGATACATACATACTTGTATATAATATATATCCATTTAAATTCATATAAATACTCATCTGAGAATCAGTGATGATAACGCCCGCCTTTAAAGTTTTTTTGTCAGCCATCGTTACCACCATTAATGCTAATTTTTTACTTAAATTCTCAAAAAAAAATACTATACATAAGGTATTTGTGAGATAGGTGCGAAATAAAGTAGAGGCTACTTAGTTTCTCTTGTAGGGTTGCATTTACAATATTATTTTCTATAGCAGAATTTAATTAAATCCACCGTCTTCCCTTGCTTTGAATATTTTACCGACTTTTTCAGAAAAAATCGAAAAATTAGATATATATATTATACAGAAATATGCATCAAATATAAAGAAATATAAATTATTCAACTAAATTTTAATATAAACAAAACGTCGAAACTAATTAATCTTATTTTAAAGGAACTAAAAATCACCAAGAATAATCAAACTAAATTTTGTATCGATAACTCAAGACTCAATGTTTACTTTCCCATACCGTAACATGAGCGCTAATCAGAACCCTATTCAATTTAATTATATAAAATAAATTATGGGTTCAACAATAAAGTTTTTCAGCAAGTCACTTTATAAAAAAGGTCAAACATTGTATAACTCATTTTTTACACGTGTTTTCTTAAAGACAATTTTATTTATTCCTTGTTCAAGCAATTAGTGGACTTATTTTAGATTAAAGTTTACTTCAATAACTTTGGGCTAGAATAGTGGAGTTTTACGTCAAAAAAATACAATTTAAAAGCATATATTTAATGAAGCCCTTTCTGGTTCAATTCTACGATTTCGCTATTCACTTCTTTCACTGTAGCCTAGGAGTGAAAGCACTAAAGCTCCATATGAAAAAGCTGTTTTTGCTCCCAAAATCAAGATATGAGCAAAGATGGACTAAGAAATTCATTAGGAAATTTTATTTCCGATTTTCAAGAATTTTTTAATAATCAAGAAAATTAGTTCTTCCAAATCGAATTTAATTTTGTTACTGAGTCTAATTGTTATATTTTTTAACAAAAACAAAAGTACTTACAATTTTTTCTGAAGAGTTTAATATTTTAATACGTTTAATACTAAGTCAAAAAACCGATTAGGATAAAAATATTATGTTTTGGTATCAATATCACTGTTTTTTTTCTAGTTTATTCATACTTCACACACTGTGCAAAAGGTTTTCATAACAAAAAAAAGAAGAAATTAACTACTGTTATCATTACCTTTCATTGCCTACTAACACATAAGCTGTCTTCGATTCGCCAAGCGCTGGAGAGTAATGAATAGAACAAACTACTGGCCTCTGACGCTGGGCAATTTTGTTGCACTTCCTTCTTTGATGAATAATTTTTAGACACCAAAGGCATTTTCGTAACACCTTACGCTTATTATAAAAAAGTTTTACTTATTTCAAGTCTTATATATGGAAAATATATATAAAATATTTTTAATTTTAAAGAATAAGTTTTCATGCGAGCCCTTCGGAATGACAAAACTGATCTAAAATATGTAAAGCAAACTTAACAGCATTGAAAATAGCGGTTATACAACTTTACCCGCACACTCTCTTGTATCATCTCAACTCGCTAACTTTGTTGTTGACAGATAGCGAGCAGAGAAATGACGAATCGAAGGCATTATGCACATTAGTTAAGAATTTAAGGTTAAACACTAGTAATCGAAAATAATTTAATGTATGTGTGTATAAATGTTCCAATGTATGTATGTATATATATGTACATATTATGGCTGTTAATTCAGAACCTTAGTCCGAAAATATGCACATTACCATAATTTTGCAAACATATAAACATATTTGTATATACCTTGTTTGTACCCTGAAATTTTTATCGCTCCTCTACTGCCTCTGACACCCTATCTATTTCACAATTTCTTTCACTCCATCTTAACCTCTACCCGTCTATCTCTTTTGCACTATATTAATTTGTTCTCTTCAAGTTTTCTATAACAAACAGTTCTTTTTTAATTCGTCTAATTTTAACTTTTCCTATTTCTCAACGCGTGCGATACTTAATCATTTACGAAATTATTAACCGATCTTTGTTTTTACATACATATGTACTTGTAAATTCCTATTCTTTGATAAATCTCTATGATGCAAAACAATTTTCGAACCCAAAAAATATATAAAACTATCCAAATCATTAAAAACCAATTTAAAAAATATTCAAAATTTTATATTGAATAAATTTGCAAACCCCCAATACCGAACAACGCTGTTGCCCACTACTGTAAATTCCACATTCCAACTGGTTACAGGTTCCAAAGCCTGGCATATGCGTCTAACTTTCGAACGTCTGTCCGGCGGCTGTAACTTGCACCGCTGCAAACTGTGCGGCAAGGTCGTCACTCACATTCGCAACCACTATCACGTCCACTTTCCCGGCCGCTTCGAGTGCCCGCTCTGTCGCGCCACCTACACGCGCAGCGATAATCTACGTACGCACTGCAAGTTCAAGCATCCGATGTACAATCCGGATACGCGCAAATTCGATAATCTAATGTCGGCCGCGGCCGCGACTGCCGCAGTGGCGGCGCAATCGCCAACAGCCACACAAATCGCAGCCGCCTCACAGGCGGCCATGGCGGCGGCGGCAGCAGCAGCTGCCTTCAATGCAGCACAACAGCAGCAGCAGCAACAGCAACAGACGCAACATCAGCGCGAACGTGAACATCAGCAGCAGCAGGCGCAGACGCAGCAACAGCTACAACAACATGCTCACAATTTGACACAACAACTGCAGCAGCACGCACACAATTTGTCACAACAGCAGCAGCAGCAAATGCTCAGCGTACAACAGCAATATCAAGTGCTGCCGCATCAGCCACACAATGCGACAAGTGAATGATACAGCCAGTATTTGGGCTGGAATTATGGGAACATGTTGAACAGCTCATCAACCTCAACGACAGCAACAGCCGCAGCCGCTGCCGGTGCTACTGCCGCAGTCACTGCTGCAAGCGCAGCTCCAGCAAATCCTTTTCTATGGAATGTCGATGAACTTACGTCAGCGCCGCCGCCGCCATCACAACCGCTCTCATTGGCACTGGCGCCGAAGCCACATACCAACACGCAACAACCACAGCAACATTTACCAAACTTTGCGCATGCGCCACCCTCGCAACTACCATTCAATATCTATGCGCGCGCAGTCAATCAGCACTATGGCGGCCACACAGCCGCAATGCGTGAGCGGAACTTCCATTTCTATAAACGTGGCGAGCAATTCGCCTACGAGCGGCAGCAACAACAATTGGAACGTCGGTTGCAGGTTAGCGAACGCAAAAGTGAACGCAACAATGGCAGCAGCAATAATAGAAACAAACAAAACAAAACGCTTGCGCAGGCCGAAGATGACCCAAACGAAGCCATATTGCTAAGCAACGACAGCGATGACGAGGACCTCCCAGCTAGTGGCAAAATGAATACGGATTACCACATTGCTGTGGAAAAATATCTTAATTTTGACGAGGCCAATAAAGAGGAAATAAAAGTAAATCTCAGCAAGCGGGAACAGATCAAATCGGATGCAATCGATATGGCAGCAAAAGTAATAGAGGAAGAAAAGGAGGAGCTGGAAGCGATTACCGAAACAAAATGCCAAAAAGAGGAGAGTAGCAATTTCCAAGAACTAATGGCCATGAACAATAAGTGCAATAACGATGACGCCACTCTCACCAACACAACCGTAACCATAACACCGGCCCGTACTGAGCTGGGTAATGAAAAGCTTAGAGATGCTGCTGGCTGCGAAAATGTTGCGCAGCATGTTGCACAAGTAGCGCTGCAGTAAACAGTTGAAAAAGTGAACACACATATACAAACAAACATAACTGAAATTTCAAACATACACACAATTGAAGTTACTCATACACATACAAGTGGCACATACACTTGAGAAGAAAAAATATGAAACAAAACACTTTAGGTAACTCCTTCAACAACACCATTAGTAAGCCAAGTAGTATTTGTCAATTCGCTGAATAAACAACAACAAAAAACACTCTATACCAACGGCAGCAAATATGCAAAACAATGGCATATTTGTATTCATTAGAGCGCAAAATCGCAAATCACAATTGACGTGACATTAGAAAAAATGCATAGGCGAGTATGCATTTATTAGTGCAATTGTCGGCGTAAATCGCAATAACATTCACAAAGGTTTCACATTAGATGTATCGATTAGAGTTTTAAGTGTTCAACACAATTATAAGTATTTTTCACAAAACAAAACAAAAACAAATATTTACTCAAACATCTCGATGTGATTTCTGTGTAAAAACATACAAACAACAACCATTAGGTTTCACAAAAATTTTAAAAAAATACCAAAATTAATCATAATAATAAAGAAAATATATGTATACAGAGAATAGACGAGTTCTATAGAGCAAAATCGATTGCGTGAGTTGGCAGGACAATTTAAGAAAATATTCAACCGCAAAAGAGGTACCAGCCAAAGGAAAATCTAATGTGTGTATATGTGTAGATTATGCATTTGACCGAATAAATATTTGACGTTTTTCAGTGGTGCATTACAAGTTATGCAATAATAAAAAGATGGCAGTTTTGTCTCATGTATTCCATTTGAAGAATGTTAAATTTTTCTTTGACAATTAGTTAAAATCAAACCTTAAATACAAATAATAAAGGATGCGCCATTAGGACGGAAAGTGGGACAATTTGAAATATCTAGGCGGTATTTATTTTGAAAATGCTACAGTGACTTTTGTCACTTAAAATGCATGTTTTTATAAAACTTTTTTTATACAACGAAAATGTAATTTTTATATAAATATGAAATTTTCGAAAATATTTTGAAAACTTTCGATTGGTATTAAAATGCTTTTATTTACAATTTTTTTATTTTTTATTGTTTAATTGTTAATATGATAATAATTTATTTAAACTACAACAATTTAAATTTCAGTAAATCTTATATTGACGATCCTAATGGGTCACCCTGTAGCGATATCAAGATTTATTTATAAATGTTTAGAACTTTGATAGCCCACTTTTCACAGGCAATATATAATTTATGCTTCATTTTTCTTAATTGTTTTTGTTTTACAATTTTGTGACGTGAACCATCTGAATATTTTTATTATTATTCCAGTATATGTATACATCAACAAAATTTTAATAATTTTTAATGAATTCAGATTTTTTTTGACTAGAATTTACAATAATTTTTTTCAGATTTAATTGGTTCAGTTAACTTTGATCGGAACTTAAGAAAATATGACTCTTTTGTCTTTTTTGGAGGTTATGCTCTCAATACGTAATGATCATCCTAGTATTATATAATGTATAATTCCATTTCATTTGTAGGCTTTAAACCATTTTCAGTTCCGAATTATTATTTCAAAGTTGAACAATATTTTCAAAACTTACTTTCAATTTCTTATAAATTCTTGAACTGAAGCGCAAGCACAGAATAAAAAACACACTTAATGTTATAGATTTATATAAAAAACGATTTTAGCCAAATATTTAAATGGAATTTATACATAAAAAAGTAAATAACTAAAAGAAAGTAAGCAAAGCTCAATACACCCAAGTCGACCACTTGCCGCTTCAATGGAATATGTGTGAGTAACGAAATAATGGAATACGGAAAGTTCTGAAATTTGTTACAAAAATATTTAAAAAATATTTCCAAAAAACCATATGTAGCCACCTAAAAACGTCAACGCATTTTATGTGAATGTTTTATTAAAAAAAAAAATAAGTAGACAAACAAAATGTCAACTGTGTCCATTAATCGTTGTAAGAAATAAAAAACTAAAACAATTAACTTAATTGCATCAAATGTAATATTAAATAAAAAAATTTTAACTTACATTGAAAGTAAAAAACACTACTGTATTTACATGAGTAACAAGAGAAGCAGAATATTTATCGAAACAAACGTGCAATGTAAATGGTCGCGCGACATCAACAGGCTGATCAGTTGAGATTTTTTTATTTTAACTGTTATACTCGCAGAGTATAAGTTTTTTTTTATTGTTTTTACACGTCGTTTTTAATTTTATTTTTACTTTAGTAAGTATTTTAAGAAGTTGTTTATATATTTGTATGCATATATAGATAATATATAGTAGAATGCAATAACAGTTTTACTAACTAGATAATGTTTATTATTATTATATAAACAAGATATATATATTTATATAAATATATTTATTAAGAATTTATATTAACGCAGCCTTGCAGGTGTGTAAGCATTTTTATTGCAGCTAAATTGCAATTAAATATGTTAAAATATTATTGTTAATATTTCGCTATATCTAATACTACACTTGTGTTCAGAGTTCTTTTTCATTCACAATTACATATAAGAAATTAGAGCAGTGTTCGTGAATGGCAGACAATTATTATTATTTTTATAGCAGTTTTCACAATTTTTTTTTTAGTTTCTGGTTTATTAATAAAAGGAGAGGATATAGCTCACAGTTTTCAAAAATTTTGTAGCGTTTTGAAAAGCTCTTCGAAATTTTTTTGGAAGTATTGTGAATAGCTCTTCGAAATCTCTGCCCAAAGCTCTTTCAAAAGTTTTATGGAAAGTGTCGCGAAAGCCTTTTCAGTGATCTACTGTATACATTAAATTAGGAAAGCTTAAAATTGAAAATTTTATCGAAATTGTTGCGAAAGATCATAAAACCAAAAAGAACCTTTATTTATCAAATTTAATTATTTGTTATTTTCTATTCCATTTATTTATTTTAATTTATTTTATTTTTCCAAAATCGATTACCATTTATTTTTTATTTTGTTTATTTATTTTTTAAATAACTTTCACTTTTAGCACAATCAAATGGATTTCTTTTTCATAATCTACGCTAAGCACTACTAGTTTTTTTTATAGCTTCAAATGACTTTTCATACTAAATTTACTGCCAGCTATAAAAGTATGTTAACTTTAATTTAATATTAAAAAATTAATAACAAAAGCCTCTCCAACATACGTATGTATTTGTTTAGATTTCGAGCAACAAAAACTGGAACAAAGTATATGTAAAAGATATATGTATTAATTTTAACTTTTTTATAAGAAATCTTTTACGTCATAAGAAGGATATATGCATATAGTAATAAGTAGAAGCAGCTAACAATTTTATGAAATAATTTTGTTTTACTAAAACTGATGTACAAAATATTTTTATTAACAGAAAAATACTAATACATACTCTATTATATATACACATAAGGACACACACACACAAACAATTTGCATTTTAGCAATTTAGAAAAACACTTCACTTGACAAAAATACAGAATTTACTTGCTTTAAAACATTTAAGATAAGTTTTGTAATTAATTATACACTTAAATATCAGAAACATCAGAAACTCTATAAAGTATATGTATAAATGATCACCATGACGAGCTGAGTCGATTTAGCCATGTCCGTCTGGCTGTCAGTCTGTATATACGCAAAATAGTTTCTCAGTTTTTGAGATATCAGTCTGAGTTTTGTAAGCGTCCCTTTCTCGCCAGGAAGCAACTCATTTGTCGGAACGATATCGGACAAATATAGCATATAGCTGCCATACAACCTGAACAATCGGAATCAAGTTCTTGTACGGAAAACTTTTTCATTTGGCAGAGATTATTATGTTCAGATGGAACCACTATAGCATATAGCTGACATCCAAACTGACCAATCGAAATCAAAGTAAAGATCTTTTTATACCCTTTTATGCTACAAAAAATTAATTAAAACGTATATAAACGTATGCGTGCCACTTATAGATCCTAATATATTTTCATCGAACTTTATCCTTTAAGTTGTTTTTTACATTTACATTGTTTACAACTAATAATACATAATAATTTTTAGAAAGGTTTCTCTCAGTTAGACAACAGTCAAAAGTTGACTTACCCATTCGGTGTTCCTCATCTACAAATCAATTTTGGCGCATTTTGACAGGTTTTAAGATTCCAAACAAGCTCTGAAGTAGCACATAGAGATACAAGATAACTTTGACCTCTCCCTTAAATTGAACACTATTTAGACATCACTCATTTCATTTTCTGTCTATGCCAAAGTCTGCATTTAAAGCATAATTTCTACTAAAACAATAATGTTTTTGGAATTTTCACAAGTTTTATGGATTTTAAATTTCAACATTACAACAACATTCTGATAATCAGGGCCGAAAAATAAAAAAAAACCGTCTTTACACGCGTTTTTAAGTTTAAATTTCGTCATACACACATACATACATATATAATTAAACAGCAATTGAGGCAACAAATACTTGCATAAAAGATAGTGAGAAAGCATTATATAGTTATCATTAAGTCATGTGATAGCGTGAATAATGTATAGAGGACGAAGTAGCGTGGGAAAATAATGAATAAAATGTAAACTGATGATTGGTGCTTTTATATCGCTGTGTAGCAGCATTACACAACACGCATCACAAAGTTTTCTGGTGCTAAATCCAAAAACGAATTATAGCGAAAAATGTTTGTTAATTATTAGATATTTAAAGGTGAACTTGCAGCGAGATTAATTATCATAACTTTTTGTATTATTTTTCAAACTTATTTTAATTATTTACAAGGCAATTGTTTATAGCGTGCTTAAGTAATAGCGGCAAACTACTGCCCGAACGAGAATGAACCGTATGTGCAATAATCACTAGTTTATACATTTTTAACATAACATAATATATTTTAGAAATACAATAATAATCAAGTGAATGTTTGTTTAATGACAATTATTTAGCGTTAAATTTTTAGCATATGTTTTAAGCAGCAAGTTTTATTGGCAATGGTTGTCAAAGTAAAAGAGCCAATTATGTTTTTTAATGAATTTTTAGCGCATAATATATTTTAAACTTTAATACTTATTTTGGTTGCAAATATATTGCGTAGGTCAATAATTATAGTAGGCAAATTATGTTTATATTAATACAAATTACATATTAATAACAAAAAATATAAATACATTTTATATAAGTTACCATTTGTAATTTTGTTAAGCGCACATAACAAAAACCGTTATGTTGTTGAATAATACTTTGATTGCAAAAGCATTTTTTATTTATTGCAATTTAATTTTAGTGCAAATAACGCGTCACTGTCTAATATATTTATATTTGTAACGCAGTCTGTTGCATATATCAGCAACCGAACAAAATTTATGTATTACAGCAACTAAAAAAATTATAAATTTTAAGAAAGTTATTTTTGAAAAAGTAAGAAACACATACTCAACTGAAAGAATACTACTTGCGCTAACATTTTTGTGCAAAGTATTGTAAACAAATTTTTATAGTTCAGCATTTTACTTCACAAATTCAGCCAAAAAAACAAAGGAAATAATGAACATTTATTTTACATAGAATTTCGCAATTTTTTGTAATAATTTTTAACTTTTCTAACATACGTAGGCTTTACATTTGTAAGTTAACAATAATTTTAAGCAATTTATTTATAGTAAAGTGCATAAATTTATTTTTATTGAGCTGTAGCTGTTAAAGCGTGAAACAAATATAAACAAAAATACATACATATATGAATTGTAGAAAAACATAAGCATTTGTTAAAGTAACATTTTATATTAAAAATAATTTATAACAAAAGTACATAACGAAATGTTTGTTTGACGTGCGTGTTGAGTTAGTAAAATTTGAAGTTAAATAATAACAAAAATTAATAATAATAGTATTAGTGATACAAAAAAAAATACAATGAGTAAAAAAACGTATAGCAAGATTTCAAATAAAATGTATGACGAAGTTATTCGAAATGGCTTATTATTTGTTGATCGTTTTCATTTTAACTTTATGGCAAAAGCCTAACGGAGTCTTATTTCGTTTTGTTTTTTTTCTAATTTTATGTACTAATAATTTCAAAAGCAAGGTCAGAAATAACAACTGCGTCGACTGCGTGGTTAAAAAAGTTGATATGAAAACTGTGGGATAACTGTTTGTAAATAAAACGAAATAATTTTTACAAATCTCAAAACAGCTATATTTTTCTTTATTACCAATTCAATCAGAGAAAAATTTGTGCTTGCTTTTTGAGGTTAGCAAGGCAAAAAACGTCAGACTGTGACTTGTGCGAGATGAATTGTGCTTCCAAACTCTGCATTTTCCATTCAATTTTAATATACGATACATATACTTATTTCATATTATATTTTAAGCAAATTTTAGTAGTTATAATACAGGCATACCATACTTGTGTATTTATAAAAAAAAAATTGAAGGTTATGTGCGGAATGTGTATGCAATTTTGTGTGTTCTATGTCATCGTCAGCAAACGAATTTTCAAAATCAACGGCTCAATTCCTTGTTTTTTATACGTATAAGGGAAAGTGATTTTCAACTGCATTGGATCGATGTAGGGTACATGCCTTAATATCTACCAATTAGTATTTTTTATATTTCATAAATGCATTAAATTTTATGTTGTTATATTTTATACCCATATGTTATGAAATATTCATTATAGCATATTTATATATTTTTTATGTTTGCAAGATTATGTATTTGGTTTTTTTACACGTTACACAACATATATTTTAAGAAATTTTGCCATTGGGATATATTTGTTAGAACATTTTTAATTCTCGCTTTTGGTTCCAAAAAACTCCTCTCGTTTTATATATATAATTTGTGAATGGAAAAACACTTATATACAACGTGTTTTCGTTCTCTTTTTGAGAGAAGAATGAAGTATCTATTATTGCAGGGTTTATTTTCGCTTTGTTCTTGAATATTGCTGATAGTTTTCTTTAAACATTTTCGTACAAATATATTTTTTTTTTTGCTGTCCATATTCACTTCAAGAACCTAATTTTCTGGACCATAGTTTATATTTTTGCTTATATATATGTATATATTAAGCTCAAAAAATTTAATATACTTTATTCTCTATAAATAAAAAAAATAATAATTCTATACAATATTTGCATATTTTTAAGATTTAATTCTTTAGATTATAATGTTCCAAAACCTAAAACATTTTGATTAAAAAATTGGTATGAATTAGATTGAAAATTCAAAAATAATTGGTTTTACCGCAAGCAATACAATTTTGATAACAATTTCAGCGATTTGTGCATTTTTAAAGTGGAAACCGCTGCATTAAGTTTAAAAATTTTAATTTTTGAAAATATCAAAAATTACACCAATACTTTCAAACGTTGATAACGGTGATCACACTTGAAAAATTATGTACAATGTGTATTTTTCCAAAAAGAATTTTAAACAAACGTGAAATTGCTTCGCTTTTTTCAAGAACACGTTAGTGTCTTGAAACATTCTTATATTTATTTATTTACCAGGAAGATAATTTTAAATAATTATATTACAGTTTAAAGGCACTAGCAACGAAGGCTTTTCCTTTTAATTCTTTGTTAGTTAAACAATAAGTAATTAGTTTATATACAGTATTTATTATAATTGGTTACTTTTGTTAAATGATTTTTCGATTTTATTATTTTTACTTAGTAATTTTTTTACTGTCCTTACTTTTACTTAAACGCTTCAAAGTTCTATTGTAATAAATTTTTCATTCTTCACTGATATCACTATTTGTTTTGCACATAAATTCCCTATATATACCCACATATATACTTATATTCTAAAACGCCTTTCTTCATGTCTTACATGCTTTTTACAGAAAGTACAAATATTTGAGTACAAAACTTTCAAATGTTGGTTTGTAAAAATATACATACAGGCAAAATTGTATACAGTGATAGTAGTAGCCACCATATAAATAGCAAACGTATGCGCATTAAGTCGGGTCGGGTAAAAAATTTGGAGCGATATGAGTAAGAATAATTACAGAAGAATTTATAATTATATGATATATGATAAAACATGGTTTTAATCATAGCTGAATGAAATACATATGTACCCAAATTTAAACGTTATTTGCACACTGTAAACATCTCTCTATCATTTTAAATTTTGAGACAATAAATAGAGTTGTCATTGCCAACGAATATAAATTTATGACTCATAATCTTAAATCCAAATTTTTAATTATATCTTGGGAGATTAGCTTTTACTACAAACCACCATATGCTTTGCTGATACATAATCGAGGCTTACCTTGTCAATCCACACAGTTTTATGAAATATAACTTGAAAAGACCTCATCACAAAATCTATTTATTAAAAAACCTATATTTTTTTTTACGTGAACAAGATCGACCCGCACTAATGTAATTATAGTTTTGTTCGTATGTGAAGACACTTTATTTGATACTTTTTTATATTATCTTTCTCTAAGCACATTTTCACGCTCTGTCCTTTACAAATATTCTAAGGCAAACACACATACACACTCATATACCCCTCACGCATATCATAATACCGCTAATCGCAATAAAAAGTTTTGAATTCAGATCTACTTTGGAAATTATTCCCAAAAGTTAGTCACCCTTTTTGCGTTTGCTTTTAAATATTTAGATTTTCTATTTAATTACAACAAAAATAACTCATAAACTATACATATACTACCTTATACGCATATGTACATATGTATGTATGTATATATTTATGTATTTGCATACACAACTGCATATGTTGCTCTTTGTTGTATTTGTGTAAATATATCGCTTACACAAATATGCATACACAGCTACACATATGTTAATGAATACAAACATACATATGTAAATATGGATATAGGGATAACTGAACGATGTGCAGAAAAGGCGATATCCTTGCCGTAAACAACGCACCTTAGTCAATTAAGAAAAATTTAGTTGCACCACATATATACTATGATTCCATACAAACATACAGACATACATACATACATACATCATGTCAATACCTTCTATGTACTATTTTCTCTATTTTTTCACTCTGTTTACTCTCTGTTTGTTTCTCTCGGGCTGATTATCGCCCTCCATGGCGTGGTGTGTGTTCTTTTTCGTTGGTTACAGGGCAATTGGGACGTCACCATCTATCCGTTACGCCGCTATCGACTACATCATCCGGTTCACCGCCGCCGCCACCACCACCACCGCACGCGCTCACCATGCATCTGAGTGCCGCGTTAAAAAACGAATACCATCAATTCGACATAATACGCGCCGGCGGTGGCAATCACAACACTAACGGCGGCCCACCATCGCATCTCTACAATCAAACGTCTCCGGGAGGTTTAGGCAACGGTCCAGGTGCCAATAGCGCCATCGTACACAATTCGCATCATCAAATGTCCTATCACAATATGTTTACGCAATCACGCGAACCGGGTACAATGTGGCGTTGCCGTTCCTGTGGCAAGGAGGTTACCAATCGATGGCATCACTTTCACTCGCACACCGCCCAGCGCTCACTATGCCCCTATTGTCCGGCCACCTACAGCCGCATCGACACGCTGCGCTCTCACCTGCGGGTGAAACATCCCGAGAGATTACTCAAATTGAGCCCAACATTGTAAGTAGCGCAGCAGCGACAGCATTAAGCGACGATGACGCCACAAAAGAGGCTGAACTGAACTGCTCCACTGAAAAAAGTTGTATAAACAATTCTATACAAACCCATGTGTACGTATGTATGCATACAATTTTGAAACACATACATACATACACATTTTTATTCAATAGCTCAAGTGGTGTAATAAGTGAAATTGAAATGTGCACATATATACATAGATACTTATACAATTCAAATATATACCAGCAATAGAGGCAATGAGACATAATGTACACACGCATACATATATGTATATATGAAAACGCCAAAAATTCATAAAAAGCTGAAAAGAGTCTGTGTAAATATATATGTACATAGAGTTACTCACAGCAGCAGCAGTGTTGTTGAGCAGGATAAGTGATCTTTTTCATAACGGTTGAGAGGCTGTTAGGTGGCAGCCAACAATACAACGGACCAACAGACCTGCCTTTGTGTTGGCTACCTTGCAACTTGAAATAATTAATGCGCTATTTGCCAACAGCAAGTCAACACGCAGCCACCGAGATCTAGCGAGCGCCAACTGTTCCACCAAAAAAGCAGACAACTAAATAAGCGAGCTCTATTGTCATTCGCTTTCACATATGTACAATATAAATATATGATTGCTACTATTGATATAATTATTATTACATACATACATACATAAATATATGCTTAGATGCATGCTTAAATATTATTAAATAGATTTTGTAACTCAATACCTTTTAGCGGTGTACTATTTCATGTGCTAATCGGCGATCATAATAAGTGTCTCCTATTAAATTTATGTGTACATATAAAATATATATATACATACCTATATGCATAAATGATAGCAATTAAAAACTAAACTGAGAAAACTACATACGCGTAATTTTAATATCTTGTTAGGGTCTCCTGTTTCTTAAGGATATAAGTCTGTAAACTTTTTATTAGATTTTAAAAATTTATATTTTTAAAAGATTTCATCGATATTTTCAAGTGAGTTTTCAAATGTTTATTATTACACACCATTCAAAAAATCTAAACTGCAAGGAATCGTGTAGAGTTTGTAAAAAAATTTTAAAAATTCCCGTAGATTATTTATATAGCACCCACTAAATGTAAGCAGATTTTATATGTTAACGCGCTTCTTAAAACTTTTTGATGTATTTTAACCCTAAAATTGCCCTCGATATGTATAACAACAGCGATTGCTTTAAATAAAATATAACATATTAATATGTATTTAGACAACACAAAATATTAAAGAAAATGTTTAGTGTTTGAAGCACCTCTAATGTACTCTAAAAACAACAAAACACAAATATGTACGTACATACCTACATTTGTCAAGCACTTTAGCAATAGCCTAACTAAAGATGATCCTTTAAAAATGTCTCTTCATACTAGACGGTTAGGTAACATTTAAAATCAATAAAATTTTTAAACATCTAAAGAGTATTAGAAATTAACTAATATTTTACTATTACAATCTTAATCTGCATTCAACAATTCTCAATATTAAAATTTTCAAATGGAAAATAACAAACAAGACTATGCAAATATTAGTGTTAATCACTTTTTAAATAAATGAAAAAAAAATTTAAAGCATAATTCAGTACAACAATAAAAATTAAGAAACTATTTTATTAGAATCATTTTTATTGTTTTAATGTTACCATATTTTCGACAATTCCTATCGTCATTTTTTCAACAAAAATCCGTTATTTGGATTTTGTAGTTTTTATTTTATTATTATTTTTTTTTGTGTGACTATCTTCCTCTTGTTTTAGAAGTAATCCTAAAGAATTGTGTGCTTGTATGACTAATGAAATAATCTAGAAATGAATACCATTGAGTAAGAAGTAAAAACACAAATGTTTCTCATAAAAATTGGAAACACTTCAAATTCAAAATATAATTGTTTCGGAACTACGGTAAGGAAATATATATTTAAAAAAATAAACATATTTATTTATAAACCACTGGTTTCGTCTTACTCAGTTGCTTATAACTAAAAGAACTTTATTTCGTTTTAAGTTTCTCAAAAAATAAAACAAAAGTAAACAGTTTTCACATGTTAAAAACGTTATCAAATTCAAATCGTCTACAACTTTCTCTTTAACCATTTTAGTACCATTTTCTTAGCCTAATTGCTCGCATCCAATAGATGGCGCCAGCTCCATCACGAATAATTAAACTAAAATAAAAATCAGCGGTTTCACAACAGGCAATTGTTAACAAACAAAATTGAAGAAATGTCATAATCAAAAATAACCAAAAATTTGCAAAACAACACAACCAAAAAGGTTAGCATAAGCTAAAAATTGAAGTGTAAAACATAGAGAGAATCATCTGAAATATGAAATTAAATATACATATGTAAGTGAAATGTCTAGAGAATAACCGAGGAGCAAAGCAAAAGAAATGAGCGGAAATTAAAAAAAAACTTACTACTTCAATAAATAGTACTACTATGATAAGTAAAAAATAAGGAACATAACAAAAAATTATTAAACACAAAATTTGACAAAATAATAAAATTAAATTCACTAAAGTGTTTTAGAGGCGTAAAATTTGGTTTCTAATACATGTACTTGAGACTATATAAATGTAAAGCGCATACCTTCATACTAAGATTTACTGAAAATCTTTGTGCTCAAACAATTTGAATGCAATTAGCAGTAATATTGGGTTATTTTTATGAATAATATATTCAATGCGCTTTGTGCAGAACTTGCTCGGTGTGAATCAATTTTTAATAACACAAATTTTACAATAAAATTAATAAAAATATAATTGTTTTAGCGCCAAGCTTAAAATACTATAAAAGAGTGTACATAAGTATATAGAAAGTAAGTAAATGAAATATATTCACGAAGTGTTTAAGAGTCTACACTAAATATTGCACAACACTTATTCCTTAATTAATTAGTTACTCGCTACGTTAGATGTAGTGATGCTCGCTACTCAATCGACGAGTTACCCATCCTACCACCTCATTACAATTACTTGTGTGGGAGTGAGCACGGAGAGTAGTTACGAAGTAATGATTGCTCGTGCCCTACAGTCTGTTAATTAGATAAACTTTCATTTGTGTAATTATTTGTAAATTTTGTGCCCTTTAGATGCTTACAACAAAAGCAATTACAATTAATTTGGGCTTTCTTTAAAGTTATGCTGTAATGTATTTAGTAATTTTAAGTGTTTTAATTTTTAAGTTAAACAAAGCAAAGATTATTTTGCAGCAACTACAAACAAAAATCAATATACCTCAAATGCATTTCAATTTTAATAAATACTTACATATACTTTTAAAAATTAAATGTGTGAAAGTAGCTACTAAATATACTATATATCATTAGTTACATATGTGCTATTATATTATGTATTGTGTTAAGTTAGTGCAAATACAAACTGAAAAGCAAAAAAGTGTTCTGTGTATTTTAGGTTTTAAATTTTTAACATATAATTTTGCTTAAATATTATTAGAAATATTAAATCACTTTTCATATTAAAGCTTATATAAAAGTGAAAAGCAGTTTGTAAAGTAAAATTCTTATTAAAATAAAGCATTGAACTCTGTCTGGCAACACAGTTCGCATATAGATTTGTATGTCTATGTGTAGTTAGCATTTATATGTATTCCGCTTGTTAACAAAAAATTACAAAAAAATATTAATAAATAAATATGAAACAGTTCGGTTATTGTTAAGCGATTATAACTACTTTTGTGCAACCAAGCTGGTCTTTTTCACCATTTACATGCTACTTCATGAATTACAGTTGTTTATGGTTGTAATTAACTTAATTTTAGCTGATAGTTTTTAAATTTAAATTTTAAGTGCCAATTTGCTGCAAACGCTTCACTGTCAAAGCAGTGTGAAAAGAAAATACGTTTAAACACAGTCCGAATGGCAAGCGTAATGTGCACTCGCTATAAAGAATCCTATTTTTATGAAGAAAAACATATATATACCTATGAACTAAGTTGGTTATTATATAATTACTTACACATACACACACACGTTTACAAATATGTATAAAATATTAGCATATGCAAACATTTTATTGCACAACTTTTTAGTTTACACGCGTGTCTAAAAAATCATGTTATTTTGCTTCTTTATTATTATAATTTTTTCGATTTTAAGTTTTGTTTGTAACTTTGTATAAGATTTTTTACGTTTCAAAATTATAATTAAAACTTATCAATAATATAAACGTAATTGAAGAGAAAACAAATCAAATTATATAAAAATTAAAATTAACGGAAATTTATGTGAAAAACATTTAATTAAAAAAATCGGCGTTAATGCTGGACATTGAAGTTTTGTGATATTCAAAATTATTATTTTTGGAAATAAGTTTAGTTTTAAAATAATGATTTATTGTAGAAATCACATTGAAAACTCATTTAAAGCATTTCGAAAAATTGTTCATGTGATATTTTCGGTATCAAAAGCACAATAAAAATACCTAAGTAACGAAAATTAACAGAGTGGTCACTATTCTGAATCTTTAATAGCAAAAAAACAATAAAACAAAATAGCAAACAAAATTCCCTTTCGGCTCTCGTCCTTAGCACAAAATGTCAAGCATTAAAAATATTTATGTAAGTCGTAATAAGTATATTTCTAAACATTTGAAATCTGTAAAAATGTTATAGTCATCTAGTAAATAAAATTTTAAGTAATGTACTTTTGTTTTTAACGTTTTAGCTGTTTATGATTTAATTTTTAATATTTTTTAATTTTTGCTTTTCATTAATTCTAATTTGTTTATAGGTTATATGTTAAAAACGAAATTTGTGTATTCATTTTGTTACAATAAACTACAAAATTTATGTACCAAAAAATGTTTAAATAAAAAATATTACAAAAAAAATTATCTTACTCTTTGTTTCTTACCTAAGATTTGTTTTTAGGTTATGTCGTACCAATCAATAATGCTTTTTCCATCAATTAACAGATTCTTTTATTTATTTATTTTCTTTTTTGTTGTGTAAGATACAACATTTTTTTATTTTTACAAACTGTTGTTGCTTGCAGGCAGCTATTGAATATTACACATAACCTCAAATAGTTTAAAATGATTTGTACTCAAAACAATAGCAGCTATAAAACTGGATAAGGCTTAGTATATTTTATTTTTTGTAAAATTAACTTTAGCAGGTTTGAAGTAAGGTATTAAAAAATAGTATACCCAATAAAAATATGTGAACAGAATGGGCAGCAAAAAATGTGAATGAAAAGTAGTGAGTTTTTATTTTTCAACTTTTGCTTAAAAAGTCATACTTCTTATGGATAATTACAAATATTTATATATTCTTGTATAATATATAATATGGTTGCAACCCAGTTTTTCAATATATATTTGTATGTCTTTAAACCAGAAGAACCAGTGTTTCACCCACGAAAGATCGCAAAACAAAAAATATACATACATATATAATACATAAATAAATTTTGCATAAATATCTACATACAACTTTGGTGTATGCAAATATCGAGCGAAACGTCATTGCTCAACAAATAAGGTATTTTTCTTTGATAAAAAATACAAATAGTACATTGAAATATATAACAAATTATTTGCTCCTCCTTTATGTATGAATATAAACAAGATTTAGGCATTTACAACTACATAAACATATGCAAATTATAGAATAGAAAAACCACTTTTTAATGAAATATTGAAGGAAAATATGCATAACAGCAAATAAATTTCGTATCTAGCTTAAATAAATCTAAAAATATAACTAATTGAGTATTTCATACTTGCTATAAAAATATTTACTCGCAATATTATATAATATATGTTGATAAAAATGAATATGAACTCAAAAAGGTGTTAAAAAGAGCGTTTACTGAAACGATCAAAATACAAAAATGTAATGTAAAATTGGAGCATATAGATTTTGCGAACTTAATACATGCATGCCTACATTCTACGAGTGCATTCTCACATTATTGCTTATTTATATGAAAGAAAGCAAATTCACAGGAAAGCATTTTTATTGTAAAATATTTACATATACATACACTAGTATATTCTAGTAAAAAAACCAAACAAAAAAATACTCTATTTCTTATGTGTACTTTCGAAATAAAATAAGTCTACATTAATAGTAATGGTAACGAAAATATGATTCCAAAATGCTATAAGCGTGAATAAATCTGAAAATATACAAAGGAGAAATAATAAAATATTGCATATTTATTTATTATAAGTTATTAAAATTAGTTATTGAAGTCTTTGGATAGGCATTCGTTTGGAAGCACAATTATTATTCAAGTTCTTATCGATTTCCAATGTGAAAATGCTATTTATATCTCAAAATATGTTTGACGAAGTCTAATAATTTTTTTATAAAAAAACATTTATTATTTTTCTAAAGCTCTATTGGAGATATTGCAGGTACGACAAATGTGTCACAGTAAGTACAGTAATATTTTAAGCGCAACACCGCAGCAGAGTTGCATGGGGGAGATACAACTATGGAAGATTAACGGGTTAGTACTTTAAGAAAATAGTTTATAAAAAATACACATATGTATATAATATACTATACATAAGACACCTAACGTGTAACCCTGACCAAGCATTGCCTTTTATCACTCTAGGTCGCTTTGAACCGGTTTTTACTAAATACTCACAGCTCAAATTCTATAAAGCACGTTGTACGACGACGAAAAACATTCCAGTTTTTCGAAAGTATGTTACCAATACTGGCAAATGAGGTGTTGTATATAAATCAAGTACTATCAAATGTCTGCTGAACTTGCGCAAGAGGGTTTTTCCGTGTCAAAAATATACTCGTAAAGTTGAACAAGCGGAAAAACCGATATATCCACCTCAAATTCACAGATAACTTTTAGACCTTTTACCACGGCTACATATATTTCAGATATTAGATAATGATATATTAGGTGTAGTAAAAAGAAATACATTCTTTTTGCATGAAATTTAATGATTTAATTATTACTTTTAGTACCCAGCCTTATTCAAATGATTCCAAACGGTTTTTTGTGAAATGCTTAGGTCCTGGATAATCGTAATCGATGTTCGGACTCGACGATTTCCATTATTTGATCGATTTTTACGATAATTGGTCTTCCAGAGCGTGGTGCATCCAGAAAATGTTAATAAATAGAGAACGCAAATTCCAAAATTAAATTACATCACGTCAAAAAGGAACCTTCCCCTCTTTATAAGCGAACTCAACAAACTAAAACACTCTTAGAAGGTGCCAAGTAAATTTTCACCACCTTATAAGGGAACGGCAAATGTATGTATGCGCAGATGTTCGTTGGCATGCGTATTAAGGAATATTAGAATGCCAAAAAGAAATAATAGAAATTGAAAAACCTTTATATGAGACAAAAATTAAAATTAAATTAAAATAAATTCAATTAAAAGGTTTTTTAAAAATTAAAAAGGAAAAAAATTGCATCTGTGCTAGGATGTGAACACAGGCAAAATATTTGATGTGAATTTGCAAAAAAGGGCTGTGCTATATAAGCAGCTCCATAAACAATATTGGAACGATCTACTCTAATGTATGAACATTATCATTTTCTGCTTGTTTCATATAATCAATTTGTATGTGAATATTCTCGAAATTGCCTTTCCTCCATTCGCATGTCCAAATATATTTGCATGTATGTACACATATGTACATATGTATGTATGTCCCTCAATATACCTTTTGTAAAAAAATCAAACATTCGCGCAAGCGACAAAAAAATCGCAGACGCACCATCATCGACCAATAAGAAAGATTCGAGCAAACTCACACCATAATTTCTAAATATTTCATATTACAACGACAACCAATTCATTCATAAGGAACGCGCGTATGAGCCGTTTCACATTGGGACGCAAAAGAGTCTCAAACCAGTTTATTGTGGGCGAGGGGACGACGAGGAAAGACGAAGGGACCGTGCCACTCGTGTTCGGGTGGCACGCTTTGTGTTCTTGTTCGTAACAGCTCGCTGATACGCAACTCAGCATTCCTTTTCACTTTCAAATTCTTTGAATGGTTGCAAGAGCGCTCGGTTTCAAATGAATTCGATCGCAAATTTGAGTTCTGTTATCTATTTTTGTATGTATATGCAAATATGTATGCATAGAATAAAAGAAATATTATGACAAATTGTAAATAAGGAGAAAATTAAGATATAGATTATGGAGTAAAGAAATTATGAATTTTTAATACGGAGTAAAGAAATTATGAGTTTTTAATACTTAAAGATTAGGAAATTCCTATTATAAATTTGGCCTTGAAAATATTAGTAGCGGATATTCAATACATTCTTGTGGATTAGGGAATTCCCGTCTTTAGTATTTTTTGAAACTATTTAGCGGGTAGGTACTTGTATTATGCATATTGTTCTACCATATTCATGGTAATTCATTGCAAACAAAATGTGTGACCATCATCTCAACATACAAATGAAATACGCAGCACGCAGTGTTGCGCGGTGTTGCGCAGTCGAACCGCACAAATATTTACGAACATTTTGTGAAAAGGAATGCAGAAAAACTAGACTCGAGTTGCTGGACTCTTTTTGACCGTGTGAATGCCCAGAGCGACACCAAAAGAAAATTTGAAAAACATCAGACTCTTTTGCATCCCTGTCTGAAACGGCACTATGCTGCAAAACGAAATGTGATCGTTTATAACTCTTAACTGCGCTCTTTTTTTTCTGTGCGCCTGGTCAACCACATTTGGTTTTCATATGCAATTGCTACCACAAAGTTTCAATGAAAATGAATGAAATTGAATTTGAGTGTGTGTGTCTTTAGTAAAATTGAAGAATCAGCAAAATCTCAATTTTACAATTGATCCTACCATTCCCTCGCATTTGTATGTTGCCCACAAGCTCACGCTGATGGTAAAAATCAGAAATTGAAGAATTTATCTGATGTTCCCTTCAGAAAAGAGAATCGGCTACATTGCCTATTAACGACTTAAAATTTTAATATATATAATTTCATATTATGCACTATATATGGTATTAAAGTATAAAATATATATAAATTGCCATTGGTATCAAATCCTTTATTACTTCTATATATTCTAAGCACACTGCATGTAGTACTTTTATACAACATACTTGTACTTGTATGTTTACTTATTATCATTTTATGATTTAGCTCATTTTATATAAATATACGGTAGTCGTAGTATTTCAAAAGAGCATACGTCAACTCACAATAACAAAGCACCGCAAAAAGGACAAACGCGACAATATTGTCGTAAAATTGTCGATTCAAACAAATTTTGTCAACTCCGCGACGATGCGCAAAATTCGGCGTCAATATATATGCGAGTTCGTATATATGTAAGTTTGTCAGCAAAGTTGTCATTTCATTTTTTTCAACGTTTTGTCACAACTCAAATTTTTGCTCCGCCCCGTCTCCGCGCGAACTCCCCGCAAAGGCGTTTCAACGGAAGATTTTTATCATACCATTATTTTGTTTAATTTGTATTGAGAAATACTGATATCTTAGGACTTATTTACGTAATATTATAATATTTGCGTAAAAATATAAGTTCATACTTATTGAAATGTTTTTAAAATAAATTCGATTAATAAAAATATATCCGAAATAATTATGTGACAGTGCGGCCCTGATCCCTCCTTGTCTGCGTGCGTTCAACTTGCTTCTCGCAAAAAGTGTAGACAAAAGTCATTGTTTGTACGGGGCAAGGAGAAGCAAGCATAAGCGTACGTGTACTTATGAATGCATGTGTGATTTTCACATTTAATAATAATAATAAATATTTATCAACACTCTCTGATTTTATAGCTTAAACACAAAACGGGCGACGACGAATATTCGTCGTACTCGGCAACGCCATCGGACTGATTTTCGCCGAGTATTCCCGCCGTGTAAAACACAATACGGACGATTTTCGTCGCAGCTAGTGTATATTCAGCAGCTCAAATATATCACAATAAATGACGAAACCAAACATAAACAATCTTAATATTGCCAACGCAGACATTTTCTTACATATTTTTTTAAAATCATTAATATTTTTACTGAAAATAATCTTTCTCTGATATGGTGATGCCGTTTTTGCCGCCGCGGTCGGTGATAAAATTAGAAATAGCTCTATCTCAAAAATCGTCATGGTGAGCGAAATTCGCCGCCGTCGCGTATTGTGTTAATCTTCATATACCAGCTTGTGTTCGAATCACCGACGGCATCGCCGAGTACGACATATATTCACCGTCGCCCGTATTGTGTTTATGCTATTATGATTGCCGAGATCCGTTAACGTTCTCGATATGGGGGTAGGAAAAGTACTGAACCAATATGCTCACTTCATTTCATTAAGTTATTACCGCACTTTTAGTTGTTTTGAGGGGGGAGTAGGGTTATTTCGTGTAAAACAAAGCCCAGTTTCATGATTTTGTCTTATGAAACAGTTTTAATAAATTTTCATGGAGAAATATTATAAAATACGGCAATGGCAACAATTACTCTGGAGCGTCTCATAAATCGGTGCTGGATCATCTGAAATCAAATAATTAAAGTAATATCGACAGATAATCGCTTTTCCCTGGTAAGGCTGGAAGGATGTTTCGAAATTTAAATTTTTGAGAACATTTGAAAAAAAAACGCGATTTTTTGCAAAAAAATCAAGTAAAATGTTATTCTAAAACAAAAAATATTAAAAAATGTTAAAGTAAAAATTGCAGCGTTACTTCGTAATTTATGTATAGAAATAGTGTTCAAAAGTATCGCTGCGGTAGTTTTGAAGTTATGAGTGGCATCGACCTTAAAAACGAGTGGTCTGGGAAAAACGCCTTAAAGTTTTGAAAATTGATGTGAAACATTCATAACACACAAATAACAAGAAAAAACGTTAACTTCGGTTGTACCGAAGTTATAATACCCTTCACAGATACAAAGGTTCCGTACAATAACTTGATTCCGATCTCATTTCGTGAAGACACCTCGTCATATAAAAAAGTTTACCATGCATTCACTATGCTACAATATAGTCAATACAATACAATACAATTTCTTCGGAGATTGCGTTTTTGCTTTAAATAATATTCCATGCCAAATTTCGTGAAGATGGATATATACAGACAGACGTTTCCTTCTTTGTGTTACAAACTTCGTGACAAACTTAATATACCCTGTTCAGGGTATAAAAATACTCGTTTACTGAATTTTGCTAGGA